GTGGGCACAGCAGGAATTTCCCCATGGAAAGGGGGCTCAGGAACTGCCCAGGGAGGGTTGCAGTGCCCATCCCTGGAGGGGTCCCAGGAAGGGCTGGAGGTGGCACTCAGAGCTCTGGGCTGGGGACTGGGTGAGCACTGGGCACAGCTGGCACTCCCTGGTCTCAAAGCCCTTTCCCAGCCCTGATGATTCTGGGATTCTGTGACACCACCTCACACCCACCCACGGGTGGAAAAGGAGGAGTTTGGTTCCTCTGGGGCAAAACATGGAAGAACCAGGTTTCCTCACCAGAGTTATGACCCCGTACTGCTTCTCCACCTTCCTCCTGAGCTCCCTGAAGCAGGCTGTGAGCCTCTCGTGCAGCGGCTTCAGCTGCTCCGTCAGCTTCTCGCCGTGGATCCGGATCCCCTCTGCCAGGAGAGGCATCTGAGGCAGGGAGGCAGGAGCAGAATGAGCTGCAGGAGCACAAACCAGCCCTCCTGCTCCCCAGAGGGAGAGTTCAGCAGCTCAGATAAAATTAAAGGATTTAAATCAATGTGGTTTGTGTTTGCAGAGGGGGAGATAAACAGGGACACAGCAAGGGAGCTGAGCTGCTGCCAGTGAGGGACCTTCAGTGCTGCAGCTCCAGGTGTTGAACGAACACCAACATTTTCCCCAGGCTGGATGGGATTTGGAGCAGCATTTGGAGCAGATTTGGAGCAGCCTGGGATGGTGGGAGGTGTCCCTGCCCATGGCAGGATGGGCTTTAAGGTCCCTGCCCACCCAAACCATTCCAGGATTCCCTCTTCCCCAATTCCATACCTGTATTGCAATTTGTTGCTTGAGCAGCTCAATTTTGTCTTGATCTTCAGGGTGTTCTTGGAGATATTTCTCTGTGAAGAAAGCCTGGAAGCACAGGGAGAAGGTGACACAGGTGACACACACACTTCCTCCTCATGCAGCTCTGAGGGGAAGATCCTTTAAGAGCAATTCACTGCCATTATTCCTCATATTAAACCCAAATTGTGCTGGCACCAAGCTGAGGGACAAAGAACCAAGGTTATTTGTTAGGAACAGAGAACAAGCCTCACTTTTTATTTTGAAAAAGTAATGTTTTTTTCTAGTGAGACACATGGAAAACCAGTTACTGCATCAGACAGGTTTCGCTCAGTCCTGATCCCCTTCTCACAAACCAGCATTGATTTGAATAACTGAGCTTCCATCACTCCTACTTCTCACTTAAATGGGAGTGACAGGCCCAAAACCTCAAGTTGTGACTTCAAAAAGCCTCTTTCTTTCCCAGCAGCCAGTGCCCCAGAGCACAGCTGCCCCAAGGAGAGCACAGCACCTCCTGCTGCAATTTCCTCATTTCAGCCCCCAAATCCCTCGTTTTCACCTGGGGCTGGTTACAAAGATTCAGCAGAAATAAAGACTATGCTGGGATTTGGGCTCCCAGCTCCCTTCAACAAAGCACCTTTAGTCTCCACTTCTCCTGGGTTTACCTTTAATCAGCACAAGCTGGTCTTGGTTTGAACTTGAACAAACACAAATCCACTTTTCTGGACTGAAAACTGAAATTTGTGCCAATTCCCATGATGTATCCCATTAAAATGGATCCCAATTCCTGCTCAGAATATTTTTTTTTTCCTAGATAAACCCCCTAATAAGTTTTTCATTTGTTTCTTTGAGCTATTTCAGCCTCTGAGTGTATTTTTTTTTACTTCTGTAAGGCTGGACTGTGGTACAGGTTTATAGGGCTGGGGGTTTGATCCTGAACAGGATGGAGGTGAGCCTGGGAAAGGGCTGCTGGGCTGGTCCCAGAGGATTTTCCTTGAAAGTGCTTAATTATTGCAAGAGGAAAGATGTTTAAAAACCCCAACTTTGGGTTTTGGCTACAATGAAACAATTAAAACTCAGATTTTAGCCGCCCACAAAAGCCAAATGTTCTGCACTGATCTGCAGCTGAAATAGGAAAATATGAACCAGAAATGAGTATTTCCAGATGTGGCTGCAGAGATTTTGTGTTTTCTAGTTTTAACTGCTTTCCCACTTCTGTAATTCTAAACTTGATGTCAACCTCAATTCATAAAATGGGAGGGTTCAGGGCCAAATTCAAGCGTGGCAAAGCACCCAAACTGCTCTGGAATCAGCAGAGTCAGAGCCCAGATCAATCAGCCCCTCTCCCAATTAACGTGTGCACCTCCTTTCATGGGGCTGGGACACAGCTGAGGAGAATTAAATGTGTTTTACCACATCCCACCCCCTTTGTGGAAACAAGCAGTGCATTCTGTGCTGGGCATTTCATCATTAGGTGGAGGGAATCAACAGCTTAAGTTAAACATCACAAAAAAGAGCAACCTACACTGCTCAAGTGAAGTCAGCTGAGTAAACCTGCACAGGAAATGCTGCTTTTTTCCTGAGTCATTTGCTCCGTTGCAAGACTCCAAAGACAGAGGCTGCTGGCAAGAGAAAGCCTCTTCAGCCTTCTCATTCCCCATTAATCCAGGGCAGAAAGGGCAGGTCGGGGCTTTTCTCTGCCACCTGGGCTGCCTGAGCACCTCTGTGCCCCACAGGGCAGGAGCAGGTTCTCATCCCACTGCAAAGGAGGCCCAGAAGAGCTGGACCCTGCCCTGAGGGCACTAAAGCTGAGCTTTTCCACCCTGCAGTCAGTGCAAAGCTCTGCTCTTTGTGCTCCTGTCTGAGCTGTGCACACACAGAGCCCCACACAGGGGCTGGGACAGCTGGAGATGGAACAGGACCTGCCAGGTCCTGCCAGGTCCCTGCACACTGCAGGGGCCCAGGGGCAGCTCCCAGAGTCTGCAGAGCTTGGGCTGGAAGGGACATCAGGGGTCAGGGCCCTGTCCAGCCTGGCCTTGGGCATCTCAGGGATGCAGGGGCAGCCACAGCTCACTGGGAATTCCATCCCAGGGAACAATTCCTGCCCAATATCCATCCATCCCTGCCCTCTGGCAGTGGGAGCCATTCCCTGGGTCCTGTCTCTCCATCCTTCGTCCCCAGTCCCTCTCCAGGGAATTCAGCAATGATTTCTGTTGGAAGGGACATCAAAAGTCACCCAGTGCCACCCCTGCCATGGCAGGGACAGCTCCCACTGTGCCAGGGGGCTCCAGCCTGGCCTTGGGCACTGCCAGGGATCCAGGGGAGCCACAGCTCCCTGGGAATTCCATCCCAGCCCCTCCCCACCCTCCCAGCCACGAATTCCCAATTCCCAATATCCCATCCCTCTGGCACTGGGAGCCATTCCCTGTGTCCTGTCCCTCCACCCTTGTCCCCAGCCCCTCTCCAGCTCTCCTGGAACCCCTTCAGGCTCTGCCAGGGGCTCTGAGCTCTCTCTGGAGCTTTCCCTGCTCCAGGTGAGCACCCCCAGGTGTCCCAGCCCTGCAGAGGGGCTCCACGGATGTGCCAGGACCTTCTCATAGTTGGTGTAGCCCCCCATGACCGCGGGGTCCACGATGCCACTGAGCAGCATGGACAGGGGGTGCACGGGCAGGCTGCGGTCCCAGCCCTGCTGCTGCACCACGTTGGTGATCCTCTCATTGGTCAGCTCCATGGTTTCTATGGCATTCTCCAGGGGGCTGATCTCCTCCTGAGGGACACAGGAAACAGAAAGAACTTTCTTTAGAGCCACACAAGAAACCTTTCAAACCTCCCTGCAATTTTTAGGGAGAAATTCCTCCCTGTGAGGGTGGGGAGGAGCTGGGAGGGAATTCCCAGGGAGCTGTGGCTGCCCCTGGATCCCTGGAAGTGTCCAAGGAGCAGCCAAGGAACAGTGGGAGGTGTCCTTGCCATGGCAGGGGGTGACACTGGATGATTTTAAGTAAATCCTAATCCAAACCATCCTGGGATTCCATGGCTCTGTGATTCATTCCTCTCCCCTGAGTAAGCAACTAAAAAAATTGCTTTTATGTGTGCCACATCCAGCAGTGGAAGGAGTGGCACTCCCAAGTACTCAAGGCTTTATTCCATGAGGGACTGAGGAGGAGGAGATGCAGCTGCCATGGAGAACTCACCGTTGTGACCTGTTTGACCTCAAACCACTTGAGGATGCCTGGAAAGGAATAAGCTGTCGTGTAGGTTGTCCTCTCTATCCACATGTTCTGGGTAGAGAAGGAAAAAAATATATCTGAGGTGTAAGGCAAATATTGGCCTTGATACTGAACACTCTCCTGCGTGGAGTGAGGCTTCCTGAAGGAGCTGGCAGAGCCCCACGGCCACCTCCCCACAGCCATGGCCACATGCCCACCTCCCCTCAGCCACGGCCACCTCCCCACAGCCATGGCCACATGCCCACCTCCCCACGGCCATTCCAACCTCCCCACAGCCATTCCCACCTCCCCACGGCCATGCCCACATCCCCACAGCCACTCCCATCTCCCCAGGCCATGGCCACATTTCCACTTCCCCATGGCCATGCCCACCTCTCCCCACAGCCATCCCCACCTCCCCATGGCCATTCCCACCTCCCCATCGCCATTCCCACCTCCCCACGGCCATGCCCAGATTTCCACCTCCCCACAGCCATGGCCACCTCCCCACGGCCATGCCCATCTCCCCTCAGCCATCCCCACCTCACCCTACAGCCATGCCCACATCCCCACGGCCACTCCATCTCCCCAGGCCATGGCCACATTTCCACCTCCTCAAGGCCATGCCCACCTCCTCACAGCTATGCCCACATTCCCACCTACCCACAGCCATTCCCACCTCTCCACGGCCATGCCCAGCTCCCCTCAGCCATGGCCACCTCCCCACGGCCATTCCCATCTCCCTACAGCCATGCCCACATCCCCACGGCCACTCCATCTCCCCAGGCCATGGCCACATTTCCACCTCCTCATGGCCATGCCCACCTCCTCACAGCCATGCCCACCTCTCCACGGCCATTCCCAGCTCCCCACAGCCATGCCCACCTCTCCACGGCCATTCCCACCTCCCCACAGCCATGCCCACATTCCCAGCTCCCCACAGCCATTCCAACCTCCCCTCAGCCATCCCCACCTCCCCTCAGCCATCCCCACCTCCCCTCAGCCATACCCAGCTCCTCACAGCCATGCCCACATTCCCACCTCACCCTACAGCCATGCCCACATCCCCACAGCCACTCCCATCTCCCCAGGCCATGGCCACATTTCCACTTCCCCATGGCCATGCCCACCTCTCCCCACAGCCATCCCCACCTCCCCATGGCCATTTCCACCTCCCCACGGCCATGCTCAGCAATGCCCAGCTCCCTATGGCCATGCCCAGCTCCCCTCAGCCATGGCCACCTCTCCCCACGGCCATTCCCACCTCAACCTACAGCCATGCCCACATCCCCACAGCCACTCCCATCTCCCCAGGCCATGGCCACATTTCCACCTCCCCACAGCCATGGCCACCTCTCCCCACAGCCATTCCCAGCTCCCCACAGCCATTCCAACCTCCCCACAGCCATTCCCACCTCTCCCCACGGCCATTCCCAGCTCTCCACAGCCATTCCCACCTCCCCTCACTGGGACAGAGCCCCGCGCTGGGCTCTGCTGAGCCTGGCCTCTCACAGCACCAATTTATGGATTCTGATGGATGCTGAATGCCCAAACTCCAGCTGTGGAGCCCCCTGACATCACCCCCAGCTTCACAATGCCCTCTGTGTCTCCTGCTTTTTCATTCCCAATCTCTGTGGCCACAGGGAGAGGGAAAAGGTGACAGTTTGGTCCAAATGCCACCAAGAAACCAAACCAAAGGCAAAGGACTCACAGCAAACTCATTGTCTGGATCCTTCTCTCCTTTCCGGACAGGTCTGGAGTGAGTGAACTGCTGCACCTCGTTGGCTCTGTAGTAGCTGGGAAGAGGCAGAGTAAAAAGGTGATTTCCTCACTCCCATCCTCCTCACTCAAATGTTCAAGTGTTTCCTCACAGTGTGTGGGGAGGAATTTACACAATTTACACAAAATAACAAGGCACAGCACCTTGTGCCCAAGTTAGTGGGGAAAACACACACAAAATTTTGAAGGAAAAGAAAAATAAATTACTTTAAGATCTGTTCAGGAACAGGTTTATCTTTGTAATTAGGTGGCAGGTTCATCACAGGCTTCACAATGAAGCACTGCACATCTGAGCAGCTCCGGTTAAGGATGAAAAACCAGGAAACCTTTTGGGAAAACAGCAGAGGGAGAGAAAAACCCTTCCTGTTTCCATTGTCAGAGTTTTCCACAAATCCCTGTGCTCTCATTAAGGATTTTTCTTCAAACCTGACTAATTCACCACAAATCACAGGCATTATCTTGCATCTTGCTGTTTGTAGGCTCCTTGTGAATTAAAAACTCAAAAGGAAAAGGACTTCACAAATAATAACCCCAGAATGGTTTGGGTAGGAAAGGACCTTGAGATTGATGCAGTGCCACCCCTGCCATGGACAGGGCCACCTCCCACTGGCCCAGGGTGCTCCAGGTGCTGAAATTCCCTTCACTTCCAGGTGCTGAAATTCCCTTCACTTCCAGGTGCTGAAATTCCCTGAAAATGCTTGGGGGTCCTTGGCACCACTGATTTCTCCTTTGGGAGACAAGAAAAGGGCAGCAGGGCTCTGCAGAGGTTCTGTGGCTGCATCTGCCTCTTCTCTCACCCCACAGTTATTTATCAGAGGCTGCTGCTCCTTCCCTCCCACCTTTTAGATTCATGAAGCCAACTGAACAAAGGACTGGCTTCACACTCAGCTTTTGTACCTGGGAATAATGACAGACATTGAAAAGATCTTGGTGATTGTATCCCCAAGCACAACAGCCTATCCTGCTCCTCCAAAATTCTGCTTTCAGGACTGTGCTGGGCTTTACAGGAGCAAAAAGCTGGCTGGAAAAGCAAGGCTTAGCCAACCTGGCCCCATGAGGAGATGGCTTCTGAGAATCCTCTGCCCTCTGAAGTGGCAGTGTACAGGAATGTGCTCCTTGTTGACAGAGTGACAAAATTATCTTTTGTTCCTTTAAAAAGGAAATAAGCCTAAAAATGTCTCTTAGTTAGCCAAAAAGACACTTCATAGGACTTGGGGGACTTCACCTCAAACTTAAGGATAGCCAATTGGAAAAGAGCTAAAAAGTCCCACCTAAGCAATTCATTAGAAAAAAAAAGAGAACAAAGGAACTAATCACTTTTGTGAGGTGTTTACCAGGGGCAAGAACCTCTTGCACCTGGCTCAGTTTTTCCTATAAAGAGTTTTGTTATTTTGCCTTTTATTAAAACCTTTGTGTTCCCAACACTGCCACAGAAGCCATCCTGATGATTTTATGCCTTCTGAGGCAGCTGAGCTATCTTGGGTGTGAAATAGAGCTCCAAGAGCTTGTGAGACCTGGCTGGAGGAGACCCAGATTTCAGCAGTGTTTCAGTGGGGGTTAAGGCAGCCCCACACATCCTTCAACCCACTGAGGCAGCTCTGAAGGGCATTCTGAGAGGCAGAGCAAAGCCACCCTGCCTGGCTGAGGAGCCACAGGCAGAGCTGAGCCCAGGAGCACAGAGCCAGGCTGGCTGAGGCTCTGAGCCCAGCTGGTGAGCTGTGTGTCCCAGCACAGCCCCTGAGCCCAGCTGGGTGAGCTGTGTGTCCCAGCACAGCCCCTGAGCCCAGCTGCTGAGCTGTGTGTCCCAGTACAGTCCCTGAGCCCAGCTGATGGGCTGTGTGTCCCAGCAGTGCCCCTGAGCCCAGCTGGTGAGCTGTGTGTCCCAGCACAGCCCCTGAGCCCAGCTGCTGAGCTGTGTGTCCCAGCAGTGCCCCTGAGCCTGCCCTGAGCCCCGTTCAGCTCCCTGGGCTGCTCTGGGCTGCAGGGAACCCTGAGGCTCAGCACAGCTCACCTGGGGGCCCCAGCACATCCCTACCAAAAGAAGAAGGAGGTGTTTTGCCATAAAAGAGCAAAAACAGCCTAAAGAAATAAAAAAGAGCCTGAGGAAAAGGAGATTAAAGGAGCCTGAAAGCAAAACCAGCCCCAGAAGCAGCAAGGTCTGCCTAAGACAACAGAGATCTGGGCACTCCTGGTGTCAGGAGGTGTTTGTGGGAGTGCAGGGAGATCCTGTCCCACATCCAAGCCCTGCAGCTGCTCCCTTCATCCCAGGGCTGTGCCAGAGCCCCGGAACCCAACACCCCCAAACCCCGGGGATGGCTCAGATCTGCCTCCAAACTCTGCAGCTCAGCTTCATCCCCAGCCAGGAACATCAGGACAAACACAAACAGATGCAGAGGAAGCAGCTGAAACAAAGCAGCAACAGAAGAGGCATTTTTGATACCAAGCTTGATCTTGAATGGATTTTAATTTCCTCTGTGGATTCAGTGCTTGGCAGGAGGATTGCACAGGAAGCATCTGCTGTCACTGCCTGGCCTGGGCCTCTGTGCACAGGGTTTGAGGGCCAAAATGGACCCTCAGATTCTCCAGCCTGGCCTGCTGAGCACAGGCTGGAAGCCCAGGATTTGGTTTTCCTGGCGTGCATCCTCCAGGAGCCACTGACTGAAGTCACTGGCAGCAATCTGGAGCATCTCCACTGGCTCACACCCCAATTCAGAGCATCTTGAGCCTGGTGGGGAGCTTGGGACACAGCCTGGAGTCCCACCAGCAAGGGGAAAAGTAAGAAGTAAAGTAAAAGTAAGAATTAAAAATAGTAAGGGCTCTGCACCCAACAGCTTTTAGTGTCATAATCCTTTCACACTTCTTACAAAGGGGAAAAACACACAAACCCCAGCACTTCATAAATGCTAATGGACTGCAAGGAAGAAGGGAGTACCCTTCACTTTCCACATCCTGCATTTCCCATCTTTCACCCAACTGGTCCCACCATGGCCAGAGCAGCCAGCAGCCCCTGAGTGAAACACAGGGAACCCTCCCTGCAGTCTGCTCCTCACCCTGACAGCACCTTGTTCTTTAAACCCACCCTTACAGCTCTGGATAGCCCCATTTTCACATTTTCAAGCCCAGTGCCTGCCCCCACATCCCCCAGGAGCAGTAACCCCCTCATTCCCATCACTGCTGGAGGGAACAGGGAGCTCTGGGGGTGCCAAGATGCCCCAAACCCAAAAGATACACTGTTTGGGGGAAGCCTTGATCTCCTCTGCTGGAGGGGCCGTGCTGGTCATCTTCTCAGCATTGGGGAACTGGGTCAGCAGCTTCAGGTTGAAATCCTCCCTGCGCTCGTACTCCTTGCCACGGTAGATGAAAATCTTGTTCTGGGGGCAGGAGAAGAAAAAGGGAATTAAAATTCAGCAAAGCAGAGGGACAGAGCTTCCCAAATCCCCCAGAGCTGGGTAATGGGAAGGGAGGGTCCCAGCTGGACAGAAGAGGTGAGGGAAGGAACACAGGTTGAAATGAGTGTGAGTGTTCACAGGGGTCTGGGATTTTGGGATGAGGGAAGAGAAGAGGATCTGACTCCATGTTTCAGCAGGGTTTATTTATTATTTTATGATATATATTATATTAAAACTAAACTAAAATAACAGAAGAAAGGATTTCATCAGAAGGCTGGCTTAGAATAGAATAGGAAGGAATGATAACAAAGGCAGCTGTCTCAGGCTCTCTGTCTGAGCTAGCTGGGCTGTGACTGGCCATTAATTAGAAACATCTAACATGGGTTAATCAAAGATTCACCTGTTGCATTCCACAGCAGCAGATAATCAATGTTTACATTTTGTTCCTGAGGCCTCTCAGGAGGAAAAATCTTAAGGAAAAGATTTTTCCTTAAGGAGGAAAAATCCTCCTGTTGCATTCCACAGGAGAATAGAAGAAAGGATTTCATCAGAAGGCTGGCTAATGATAGAAAGGAATGAATAACAAAATCTTCTGTCTTGGACAGAGAGTCTGAGCCAGCTGACTGTGATTGGCCATTAATTAGAAACAACCCCATGAGACCAATCACAGATGCACCTGTTGCATTCCACAGCAGCAGATAACCATTGTTTACATTTTGTTCCTGAGGCCCTCTCAGCTTCTCAGGAGGAAAAATCTTAAGGAAAAGATTTTTCATAAAAGATGTCTACGACAAATGAGGGCACAGCAGCTCCTGGGAGCCAGGCCTGGCAAGGGGAACCTCAGATTTGTCTTAAAAATCCATTGCTGCACAGAGACTCATCAAACAGGGCTGGAAAGGAGCTTTTAAAGCCACCTGCAATGAGCAGGGACACCCTCAAACAGGTGGGGCTGTCCACACAGACACACCCCAGAGTCACTGCCCTGCTCACACCTCCCAGCACTCCCAGCTTCAGCACAGGGATCTCAGCTAGGAGCTGATTTTTGTAAAGGAATAAATGTACCAGGAAATTCTCCATTCCAGGGCCCTGCTGTGAGTTCCCTGAGGGATGTCCCTGGGCACAGGTGGCAGTTTCTTCTGGCCACCACTCCCCACAATGTCACCCCTGGCAGGTCTGTCCCACACACCCACACCAGACCATGGCCAATCATTGTCACCTGGCAGTGGTTTCAGGAAGGGATGGATGCCCAAACATGGCCTGGAGTTGAAAGCCCTCCATGCCATCTCCTCACACAGCTCTAACTTAACATTGTTCTCTTTTTTTGAGCTTGGCTTCACTTCCTCCTTTCCAGAGCTTCAAACAGCTCCAGTCTGAGGAGGTAAAATGGCCCTGAATTTTAAATAACAGGAATATTCTCAGCCTTGCTGACCCTGGATCTGAGTCATTCCTGTCCTCCACACAGATCCAGCATGCTCAGCAGCTGGAATAAGAAGCACCTTTGCACTTGAATTCTCCTGTGTGGGACAAACTTTCCCCGACCACTGAAATAATCCCTGTCCTGAAAATTTGGCTGATTGAGGCTGAAAAGCAATGGGATAAATTCTTTACAGGCTGAACATTTCCTAACAGCAACAATCACATTGGGAGCACAAACACAAAAGGTAAATTCTGCTTAAATCCATAGAAGAACTTACCAATCATCTAAAAGACCTATAGTAACACCCAGACCCCACTTGAGCTGGTAACACACAAAATTTCATCTCTGGCTTGACTCTTTTTAGACACCCCTGGGATTTAGATCTCTCAGTGCCACTGAAAGGAAAAGGAGTTTGGCACCCAATTTTTGTGGGAGCTCTGCAGAAGTTGTGACTTTCAGGGTCTCCAGCAGTGCAGAAGTTGGGTGGGGAAGGATCCTTACCCTGAGGAAAGAGGGAAAACCCTGTCCATAGTAGCCAACAGCAAAGTACTCAGGCTGAGGTCTCATGGCCTTCATGATGTTCTCATAAAAAGTGGCTCTTTTTTTCTGGAAAAGAAAACAACAGCACACTTTCACTTTGGGATGCTGCAGGACACATTCCCAGGGACAATTCCTGATCTCTGCCCTCAGAACACACTCCACAACTGCTTTTTGATGCAGTCTCTCATCCTTATCCATTTACTTCATTAAATATTTGCTTTGTCTGGGCCAGAACCAACTTCATTTCCTGCTCTGCAGACATGAGAACAATGCCATGGCTTTAGGATTCCAGAAGGAGATTTGAAATCCTTCACTGTGGGAAAACAAATGAAATACAAATACATTCTGCAAGGGAGAAGACACAAATGGAGACAAATGTCAGAGAACTGGCAGAAATAAAACTGGGCAGATGATTCTGCTATGAAAAAACATAAAGACCATCTGGTTCCATCCTTAACCACTAGAAAGCAGAATTCTGAGCCAAGAGAATTCTCTAGCTCTGTGTTCATGCCCAGCACTTTCACCACAGAAATAACAAGGTGATGAGATTTATGGAGCCTGAAAATACACTCTGGTTGTTACTTCATTTGCTTAAGACCAAGAATTCCAAACATCTGCACATGGTATTATCATGCTAATTAGGAGGTGAAAAGACACTATGAAAATATTTATTCTACTACTAACCTTTACAAAGCCATGGGGTTAAGTTGGTTTGTTTGTCTTTAACATACATTTATTTTAGGCTTATCCTGCTTGAACAGTATTAAGTGAAGCAGTCAGCAGCCTGCTGGGCAGGGAGGGAAAAGCCTCACCAGGAGATTGCCAAGTCCCTCGTAGTCAAAGACCTTGTTCTCATACATGTCAGCCAGCTCCTTGCTCAGCTGAATGGCTTTTTCCCACATCTCCACGAGGGGGAGGACGGGCAGCAGGGGGAAGAAGAGCACAAGCAACATGAAAGACTCAGTTAAAAACCTTCATTAGCACAGATAGGTAAACAAAAATGGAGCTGATTTTAATTCAGGCACTACTTTCATGCTCTGCCAGGTTTCCCTCAGACTCCGCTGTGCATTTTTGGTTTTGCAGGGGTTATTACAGTCATACAGATCTTGTGATTTGGAGATCTGAGAGTGATTTACAAAGCCAGGACTCCACTGAGATCCTGACAGGACAAACTGGGAGGAGGAAGGACAGGTGTGAACAGCAGAGAGAGAAGCCATGGGGGTCTCCTCCTCCAGCAGCTCCTGGGGTTTGTCTCATCATGGGATCATGGAATCTGGGTGGAAAGGGACCTCAAAGCCCAGTGCCACCCCTGCCAGGGCAGGAACACCTCCACTGTCCCAGGGGCTCCAGCCTGGCCTTGGGCACTGCCAGGGATCCAGGGGCAGCCACAGCTGCTCTGGGAATTCCATCCCCGCCCCTTCCAGGGAGGAATTCTGTCCCAAATTCCATCTAAATTCCCTTATTTCAACTCAAAGCCATTCAGCCCTGGCAGAACCCTCTCTCCAAGGTGCAGCAGCCAGGGAACCTCTCTCCCTGCAAGCCCAAAACCTGACAGGGCCCTCCCAGGGGAAGGAAGGAAAACACCTGCCCTGCTCCCATCCACCCAGAACCTTGGCCAGCTTCACCCTCCAGACACTCTCTGGAACACAGAAATAGGGTTTAAATGTCTCCAGACAAGCAGGTGCCCTGCTGATGGCAGTGCTGGGGTCCCTGCCAAAACCCCAGCCTGGTGTGGAACCACATCTGCTTTCCCCTTTTAACCAACCCCAGGCTGCCCCAAGCACTGAGGCCAGAACTGACCAGTAAGGAAATCCTAAATCCACAGCAAAGGGAATCTGCCAGGGCAGGGTTTGCTGCAGGAGCAGGGTGAGCACTCACCTTGCCCCTGTCAAAGAAGGAGATGATCTCCTGGTACAGCTTCTCCTTGAGCTCCTGCTGGGAGTACACACAGAAGGAGTCCCTCTGCAGCAGGTGAGGGGCACAGGGCTTCTCTGACCACTGGCACAGCAAAAATGTAAAGGTGAAACAACTGGAACGCTTCCAGAGAAATCCTGACAGGGTGACTCAAAACAAACCCCTCATGGAGGCAAAGGAAGTTTGGCAGGGACATAAACCTGAGACATTGTCTCTCAGCTCGCTGCAGCAGGAGGATGCTAATAATGATTTTTCTTTCGTTATTATTTAATTAAATCACCTACTTTTATTTTATATATATTTTATATAAATATATAAAAATATAAATATATTAATTTTTTAATTTTATTTCTTTTTTCTTTATTTTTTTTATTATTTTTTTTTTTTTTTTTTTTTCATTATATATTATATATTATTATATAAATATAAATATAATTTTTTTTTTATTTTTTTTTTTTTTTATGATATACAATTATTATTTATGCATATAATATATGATTATTTATAACATTATATCATTATATATATAACTATATCATTTTTTATATATCATAGCCATAATTTTATATATATAATATTCCATTGCTGTGGAATCTGCAAGATTGTGAAGCCCCTCAATGACCACTGGTACCTACGTGATTCAAAGTCCCATTAAATCAGAAAACAAAGTGCTTTGGTTGTTGTGAGCAGTCTGTGCCTCACCAAAGCCCAAGCCTGGGATACCTGGAGCAGCTCAGCGTGCAGGAGCAGGGTGTAGGCAGCCTCTGTGAAGTTCTCACAGTCTGTGTGCAGGTCCCTGAGCTTGTACAGATACCTGGGCAAAGCAGAACAAAACAATTCCCTGCTGTGAAGGGCTCCTGTGTCCAAGGGAGCTGCAGGGGAACAAGGGCTGGTGCAGGACACAGCCTACCTGATGTAAATGTCCTCTCGCTTCTTCTCCTTGTAGAAATTCTGCCAACAAGAGAAAAAGTCAAACACTGGCAATGCAGAGCAGCCCAGATTTGCAGAATCATCTCCACACAAGTAACCTGAGCAGCAGTTTTAGGCATTTCAGGGATATTTGCTCATTTTGGCTGCTCAGCCCTGGGACCATCCCTTCATACCAGAGGGGCACCAGCACCTCCAAAAAGGGACAAATCAGAGAAATCACTTGTCTGAAGGGACACAGGCTCTTTGCAGGGGAACAGGGACCCCAGCCATCAGCCAGGCACCTCCTCTGCCTGTGCTCCAGGGTTCCAGACTGGGAGGATCAGCCAAGGCCTCGATTCTGGACTGCCCATCTTTCTGTGATCATGGCTCCAGAGCCTGACTTGGGCACACCATTAACCAAAAATGGCATGAGGAATTCATTAAAATCCTTCCCTAGATCAAAAATAATTCCAAGGGGGTCTAGAAAAGCCCAGGGGAGGTGCCCAAAGCCCAGGGGATGAGTCTCTAGCCCGGGGGAGGCACCCAAAGCTCGGGGAGGTGTCCCCAGCACAGGTAATGAGTTCCTTGCCCAGGGGAGGTGTCCCTAGTCCAGGGCAGGTGTCCTGAGCTCAGGGAACCTGTCTCCAGCCTGGGTAGGGATCCCCAGCCTGGGTAAGGATCTCCAGCTCAGGAAACCTGTCCCCAGCCCAGGGTAGGTGCCCAAAGCCCAGGGGACAGGTCCCCAGCCTGGGAGAGGGGTCCTCAGCCTGGGAGAGATGTTTCCAAAGCCCAGGGGAGAAGTCCCCAGCCCAGGGCAGGTGTCCCAAGGACTGGTCCCCAGCCCAGGTGATGAGTCCCCAGCTTGGGAGAGGGGTCCCAGGGATATATCCCCAGCCTGGGAGGGGGTGCCCAGCCCAAGAAGGTGTTCCCAGCCCAGGTGATGTTCCCAAAGCCCAGGGAACAGGTCCCCAGTCCAGGGGAGGCATCCCAGGGAACCTGTCCCCAGCTCAGGAAACTTGTCCCCAGCCCAGGGGAGGTGCCCAAAGCCCAGGGGAAATAAAAGCCCAGGTGCCCAGCCTGGGAGAGGGGTCCCAGGGACATGTCCCTGGCCCAGGGAGGTGTTCCCAGCCCAGGGACATGTCCCCAGCCCAGCTGAGCTTCCCAAAGCCCAGGGGAGAGGTCCCCAGCCCAGGGAGGTGTCCCAAGGACTGGTCCCAAGCCCAGGTGATGATGAGTCCCCAGCCCAGGTGACAAGTCCCCAGCCCAGGGAGGTGTCCCAGGGACCTGTCCCTAGCCCAGGTGACGAGTCCCCAGTCCAGGGACACGTCCCCAACCCAGGTGACGAGTCCCCAGCCCAGGGGAGAGGTCCCCAGCCCAGGGGAGAGGTCCCAGGAACATGTCCCTAGCCCAGGTGACGAGTCCCCAGTCCAGGGAAACTGTCCCCAGCGCAGGGCCATGTTCCCAGCCCAGGGAGGTGTCCCAGGAACATGTCCCCAGCCCAGGGAGGTGTCCCCAGCCCAGAGAGGTGTCCCAGGGACCTGTCCCCAGCCCAGGGGAGAGGTCCCCAGCCCAGGGAGGTGTCCCAGGGACATGTCCCCAGCCCAGGTGACGAGTCCCCAGTCCAGGGAAACTGTCCCCAGCGCAGGGCCATGTCCCCAGCGCAGGGCCATGTCCCCAGCCCAGGGAGGTGTCCCAGGGACCTGTCCCCAGCCCAGGTGACGAGTCCCCAGCGCAGGGACCTGTCCCCAGCCGTACCAGCACGTTGACGGTGCAGCTCATGCGGTTCTCCTTGCTCTCATCGTGCATGATGGTCCTGTAGTCCAGCAGGTTCTCCAGGAGGCTGCTGACCAGCAGGGCAAACACCTCTCCTGGGGCTGCCAGGTACTTGTGCTTCCTGCAGTGCTCCAGCAGCCTGCAGGACAGCAGGACACTCAGCTGGGCCTCCAGGACCGGGAAATGGCATTTTGGGGTGAATTACCCAAATTTCAGTGGGAATGACCCAATTTCCCTGGATGGACACAGTGCTGGACACCCACACCTGAGACAGCCAACTCAGGCAGGGCAGGACAGCACTTGCTGGTCAAAAAAATTGAGTTTTTATTGCTAAAAGCTCCAATTTTGCTTTAACCGAGTCTTTGAATCCTTTGAAGTAAGTATCTGTTCTGTACATTGATTTTATTGCTTGCTCACCACAGCTCTGGGCTCACACACAGGAAATGAAGCCAGTTCATGGCCATAAAGAAATGTCCCAGAAGTGCCAGATTACACTAAAGCAGATTAGATTCAATCAGACATTTCATACATTTCTTGTCACTAAAATTCTTTATCAGAATTAGATGAGTCTGCTGATTACAGGGAATACTCTTACAGCAATCTTAAAATAGATAAGGCAGATTCACCACTCAATAGTTTTCCAAAATTCCCCAATTACTTCCCCTTGCAGCCCCTCCCCAGTTTGGCAGCTGACTCTGAATTCCACCTCCAGTTACAAGTGCAGAATAAACCCCTCATTTTTGGGCAGTCAGCCCCAGAACACCTGCACTGCTCACTGGAATAATTCATGAATTAGGGCTTCTTTGCATTAGGAGAGCAGCCCAATAAAGTGTGAAAAATATATAATACATAAATAATATATATAATATAAACCATATAAATAATATAGAAAATGAAAAATAATGTAAAAAATAAAATATACATATATATTATATATATTTTATATATATAAATAAATATAATATATATTTATATATATTATATAAAATATAATATAAAAATATGCAACATATAAATAATAGATATACTGCAAATAATATAGAAATATATAATATATAAAATACAACAAAATAAAATATAATATATATAATATATATTATATATATAATATATATAATAAATATAATAAATATAATAAATAATAAAAATAATATGAACAATATATAAATAATATATAAAATAAAAATAATGCAAAAAATTAATGTACATATATATTATATAAAATATAATATAAAGATATGTAATATATAAATAATAGATATACTGAAAATAATATAGATATATAAAATATATATAATATGATAAAAGTATAATACATATTATATATAACATAAAATAATATAATATAAAATATATACTGCATTATATATTATTTAATATATAAAATAGAGAATAATATAAAAATATATTATATATAGATAATTACATATACATTATATAGATATTATATATAACATATATAATATATAATATATAATATATATTACATATAATATGTATTATATAATAAAATATATAATATATATTATATACTATATACATATTATAGATATTATATAAAATAATGTAAAAATATTTAACATATAGATAATATATAAAATACAATAAAATATATGATATATAAAATATGAAATAATATTTAAAATATAATATATAAATAATATATAATATAAATAATAAATGTAATATAATACACAAAATGATTTATTAGTTATTAAACAATTTATTATTTATATAAAATAATAACTGTAATATAAAATGTAAAATACTAAAAAGATATAATACATGAAATGTGAAATAACATAGAAATATATAATATATGACTAATATATATAGATAGATAAATAGATATAGATATATAAAAGACATAAAATATATAGATATGTAAAAGATATGAAATAAAACTCACAGTTTCTCCAGCAGGACCTTGTACTGCTCATCCCCTCGGCCGCCCTCCACCTCCTGGTCCAGCCTGGTGATCAGCTCGTTCTCAAACTGCAAACACGGAACCCGCAGTGGAACAGAGCAGCTCTGAGAGCACCCAGGGGCTCTGAGCCTCCCCCAGCACTGCTGCCAGGGCTGAGGCAGAAAAAAGGGACAAAACCCCAAATGCCAGGCCTGGAGAAGGAAATCTGACCCCACACAGCCACACCCTGGTGCAATGAAACACTGCTGCCCCTGATCTCTGCTGCCCTCAGCTCCCTGCATCACTGCCACAGGCCCTCGGGGGGGATTCCTGATGTTGTTGTAAAGGTGAATAAACAGCTAAAATTACATTTCAGACCCTCTGAGGGTCTCCAAACTCCTCCCAGTTGACAGGTGAGCACTGACAGCTCTGCAAATGCAGGGAAGGGTGAAAAGGGGAATTCAGGGACCATCAAAGCCATGGGAAGGCTGAGGCAGGACAGCGCTGGGAACTCCTGAACCCCACAAAGCACAGGGGCCTCCCAAGGGCTGGACACAGCTCTGGCTGGGGATTCCTTGCTTTTGTTCCAGTATTCGATTTTCCTTTTGCCCCAGGGACAATGCAGAACAGCTGTAGTGAAGGCACCAGTATTGTGTGTACACGGCAAATACATGTATTATACTGTATTTATATATGTAATTTTATATATATTTTATAGTCGTATATAATGAATGTACAATTACATTGTGTATAACACAGTATATATACTAAATATATAATATTGTGTCTTTTTACATAGTGTATATAT